AGCGCTGAATAACAGAAAGTTAGAAAGTTTCGGGTTTAGCCGTGCGTCTTCAGACTGTTTATAGTTTTAAGCGTTTACTTTTAGCGAGTTCACCTGAATTTCCGTAAAGATTGAGTGTGTTTAATGTTTGTTAATGTTTTAACTTAACGAAAATAAACTAAACTCAGAAATGAAAATATATTCCAAATTTAAATTCATGATGTAAAAGTGCAAATCGGTTGGTAATGTTGCTTTTTTGTCGATGACGGACATGGTTTGTCGTTTTAATATTTTGGAAGATTAATTTTGGGATTGCTAGACGAGGACAGCGTATCCTGTGTGTATCGTAAAATTTAATTTATGTGAGGCGAGCAGTTCCACGAATTCCAAAAGGCACCGCCTTGTGGTGGCCAACGGAAATGGATCCGTCGTTCATAGAAATCTCTAATCGGCGCCTAATCGGAATGTGGACACATAGTAGGTTTTTTACCGACTTTTAAGACTAGACACACACAGGATGAGGTTTTGATAGTTCGATAAAATAAAACTACATTTTCCACATCTACACAGTATAATTTTTTTTTTTAATTTTCGCTGAAATGAAAAGGAAAAGTAACGTTTCCTTCTTTCGTTCAACTAAAATGTAAAATTATTGCTGGGAGAAGCCGCGAATGGTGGGTACTGTAATTACTAAAGAAACCCGAGAGTAGTTCTTTGAAATAATCGTTGTTCGCACAACGTTCATTGTTCTCGGCGTTGTGTAGAAGCCGCGAAGTCTCGGGGGCTTTAATACGATGTGGGAATGTTTATGAGAATGGATGTGGAACGGATGTACCGCAAACTTCCAAGAACTTTGACTAACGCGTCGTTACACCTTGAAGCAATCTTCTAATTTGTGATTTGTGTAAAACTAAAAATTCAACTCAACTCTATAATTAGTGTATCACGTGATATACGATCCAAGAATTATTACAACTTTGTATTTCTTAGTATACTTCGTCAACGATTACACCAAAACCACACCTCTATCATCATTCAATTCATTATTCAATTCTACAAAATAGTATACGCCCAACAACTTCTAGATATCCTATCTCATAAGACATTATAAGAGATATGGGCATCATTACATCCGCTCAGGATCGATGTAAGAACATTTTATAGTTCCGGTAAAACGTCTTAACGTTTACCGATCGTTAACACCTGAATAATAACCGCGTCAAGTGGGTGTCCCATTCGATAAATCAACGTCTCGAGATACAAAGGGACATTAAAAACGACATTTAATTGAGCCATCTCTCCACGTGGGTGGACGAAAAGGTTTTGCGTGTAGGTGGCGAATTCGTTCGACCTTATCGTTTAGGTATCGTCTCCGTACTGTGTAGGTTCTTGTAACACGTCTACGTTGTTATTAAAACATCTGGTAATCATATATCATCTTATTAAAATTAATTAAACAAATTAAATCGAATTAATAAAAATCATAATTGCCTATTCTTATTTTAAGTATGTATTCAAGGACACAACTTTAACACCAAATATTTATAAACGAAATAAAAACTAACATGGTGTGAAAAACATTTCTTAATATAGTAGGTTATTTATTTGATTAGCGTCGTCGTACCATTGGCAACGTCGAGACTAGCGCAAAAAAATACCTTCGTGACCTATTCGCTATTTATCCGCGTCCTTGATACGGAAACACGTCCAAGATGCCCGGACGTTTGACAAAAAATATTAAGAACAAATGAGGTTCACGAAAAGAGGCAGAGGACGAAGACGACGTCAACGGGAACCAGAAGAGAGGCGGGGGCCGCGCATTTTTTATGGAAAACGGAAACGAGCCCATGTGGCTACATCGGACTGAGACCAGCATCATCCTACGGGGCCGGAAGTGGCCCTCATTACTATGCCGAGCCCGTCCGACGTCTGCTAATAACGTCGTAATTGTGCTATTGAGAAGAAGGTCATAGTGACCCGTTCATAAAGTTGCCTGCAGGTGACGACATGAGACAGAATACGTTATTTTACTCTTTCTTACAAACTTCATTTTAATTTTATATAATATAAATTAAAATGAAGATAAAAAAACAATACTTTTCTGGTCACTCTATTTAATGTCTAACCGGTTTCGGCTTACGCCATCATCAGAGACTCTATAATAGTCTATAATAAGTATTATAGAGTCTGTGATGATGGCGTAAGCCGAAATCGGTTAGACATTAAATAGAGTGACCAGAAAAAGTAAATAAAAGTATATAAAATAACTGGTTGACGTGGATCAAACCTCCTCATCTAATTTTACTTTTTACATATATTTTTAAGATATCACAAGAAATATAACATTTATGTATTTAGGTGATTTTTTAAAATATAAAAGATGTGAATAAACATTTAAAGATGCGTTGAATGAGGATGTTCAGGTGAGAAAACATGAGCAGCAGGAAGGGCCGATGACAGCGTTTCTACTTCATGGATAGAAGACGAGTGAGATCAGGAAATTCTCACGTATTGTTGAGCAACGGTTCGACCGCGATTTTCTATGGGGATTTACAATGGGGAGACGGTAAAAGCTGTCAAGGGTTGACGTGTGCGTTTCCGCTTTTCGTCGGAAACCGAGAGAATCTTATTAGTTCGAGGTCGAGGGATACAATAGATTTTGAAGGGATACAGGAAGAGAGCGCTTTAGAATGGCGTTTCTTATTTTCTATTTATTTTTAGGATTTGTATAAACTAAATATCTAAATATAGAAAATTTAAATGCACTTTGTAAATAGATGTTTGTAAATAGACAAAAATTTTTTTTGTGACCAAGAATAAATGGAATGTTGCGTCATTCACAGAACGAACATATGTCGCCGAAACCGGAACAACTAATTGACTAATCGAGAGATTAGCGGCAAAGTTAGTCACCAAAGATCCGTTTCCGAAAGAGATATAAGCGGTTGCGTTATGCTATAGAAAAAAGGGCGGGGATGTTTACTAACAGTTCAAAAAGCTTTTTTCAAAAAACGCCAAGTTTCTGTATCGTCGTGACAGTTGGGGACTTGTCGGCAAACTTTTCGGGCGGGCCTTAATAAAAAAGAAACTTGAAAGTAAAAAAGTTTGACGTCGTCGTCGTGTGCGTGCGGTTTCGTCGGCACGTTAAAGTCGTCAGTTAATTTTAACTGTGAGGATGTCGTAGAGGCGTCAGCGTGCAGAATTACCGACACCGCACTTCCTACTTCCGGTCGAAAAATTGCCTCGTCGGCTTCGACAACTATAAACGCGAATTGTTGGGGGAAGATGATGCGAAAATTGCTCGATGCCGGTAAGGAAGTTCCTTCTTATAATTGGAAGGATGTTACGATTACTTCTATTAAGATTTATCTGCAACTACATCTTTTGTAATGTACACATGTGTACAGCAGTAAATATCGATTCTCTAATATTTATTGCATGTATTATGTTTTAAGAATGCTCTAAGTACTGCAAACAGTTTGTATTTTCACGTATTAAGGTCATTTACGCCGGATAAACATATTGGTTCTCCATTATCCATGTTTATTATGTAAAGCTGCTTCCGCAAGTAAATCTCGTTGTTTTTTATTCAAAGCAGAATTTAGAGCAGACTCGCATAACTTAAATTTGCGACACAGATTTGCAATGAGAATTCCATTATGTTGAGCGTCTGGATTTAATGTGTGTCTGCAAGGTGTGCTGGCTCGATTTCGCAATTCACTCTGAATCAATAACTTTTTATTGTTTCAATACGCTTTATTCATCATTTATGATAAAACCAGTAGTAAATTTCCTTACTAATACTTTTGTTGTACAATAGCTCAACAATTTCTTTTTAAAATTTAATTAATAAATCATTTTGTTACTTACATTTTAATATTTTTTATTATTTTACATCTAAATGACATATTGAAGAAATAAACATGTTCAACCGGAGATGGAATAAGTAATTTTATCCGCATGTTTGCATAGGTTCAGCATATATCATTATCTATTTAGCGCGTTCCATAACCTGTTATTCAAATCAGTGACATTCTTGCAATTTTATAGCGACTTGTATAGGGAATGATCTATTGAAAATGGAAAGAAAATTGGAGCTGACACGTTTTTTGTATGGTAACCGGAACGTTAATAGCTCCGCGTCATAAAAGGCCACTTTTTTATGGCCGTTATAAATTACGTTGACCGTTCGGTTTAAATGCTTTCGCGGTTTGTGGACGCGGAATTGTCCAAACAGAATTAAGTTTATTGCTAAACGAAATTAATTGCTGTTAGAGTTTAAATTGGTTTAGGAATATGAAGCTCGAAGATGATGAGTTGAAGTTTGTGTATCAACTGAATTTTAAAAAAGTAGATTAAAACCAACAAACATATCATTCGTCGACCACCTCATTGAGTTAACAGAAGATCCACTTTAACATGTCGGGTTCGTTTTAGCGAAAACATCGGTGTGTTTCCGGTGTTTATTTTCACCGAGCCGATTGCCAAAGTGCATATCCGGTTTCTTTCGGGCCGCACGAGCGAAATTCCACGGCACGTATACAGCGTGTCACCAAAAATAGACCACGGCTTCGGAGGAGTTGCCAAAACGTCGTTATCCTTTGAATCCCCCTTCTTCATTTCACTTCTCTTCACAATTTCTTTCTACATTATCGTTTCATTTATGCTTCAAGTCCGGAAACACGGGAACCAGATGGCCTCCGGAGACCGGAACTTAGCCATTGTTCTACCGTACTTCCGCACCTGCCCTCGCCCATATGTATAATACTCTTCAAGCGGATTTATATTTTCCCGGATAAGCAGAGAGCCTATTAGCGGAACGGAAGGAAGAGGTGATTTGTTTGAGATGTCGGATGGCTATTTTTTAATTGGCCTCCGGCTTTAACGCTTAGGGGTAGAGGATGTCGTAAAAATAATACGTTGAATACAACGTAAACAAATGTAGACGAAAATAAACGTTTCCTTTTTTTAACCATCTATTAATAAATCGATTATAACAAATTTATTTCTTTTATTTTCAGATAATCAAGATTTTTCCGAAAATTTTGGTCGTCAATCGGTAAAAGACGCGGCAACAACAACTATGTGGCTTTTGGATATTCCATATAACCACGCAGAAAAGCTTTTGTGTTTTCGATACCACGGCGGTCAAACTTTGGAATGTTATGCGCAAACGGAACCGTTAATAATGAAAGCTCCGCCGGATAAATTTAAAAAATACGTGAAATACAAATCGAAATTAAGCAACGGTATCGAAAATTGCGCGTTCCAAGATGAACTCGAACCACCCTCCGTTTCAGTAAAAACATCGAGTTCAATGGAGGAGTTATCAACGAAAAGCAAAAAAGAAGTAGAACTGGAAGAAGAGAAAACCGGGGCGAAGAAGAAATCACCAAATGGATTAACCAGGTCGGAAAGTACAACGATTAACGGCGCAAAGAAGAAAATTAGGAGCGCGAAAAGTCCAAATAAAGAATATTACCATTTATGGGCCTCTACTTCGAATACTATGGACGATGGAAAAAACGATTTGAGTCAAATCGATGGGGTTGATGGTGAAATTGCACCTCCTTTACCGCCTAGGAGTTTACATAGACCTTTAGAAAGGTTACACGCTGTAACTGATGATTTTAAACCGCCTGTAGTTTATAGACAAAACAAACCAAAGGTAAATTATAAATTACTCGCACACAATTATTAAATTATTTTATAATTAAATTTATTTCTTTTAGATAATCCAAAAACCTGAAGACACATTTAATTTTGAATTAATCGATACAGATGAACCACTAAAATTATCTCTAACCGAATTCGAAATTCAAGAAAACCAAAAACTCGCTCATCCTAAAAAACTTGTTGTCAATGACAATTACATCAGCACAGTTTTAACGAAATCCCTAGATAAAGCACATCCTTCCATTGAATGTCAACATCAACAACTTGAAGCAAGAGGTAGTCAAAGTTCAATTTCGACTTACAGTAGTTCGATGGAGGGAAGTGAAGCTGAAACGGCTATTGATTTAACGAATAAAGTCCACAAGCCTTTAAGTCGACAATTATCTGATAAAGGACTTCTTGGTCATGATGAAATTGATCACCGAACACCTCGAAAAGAATGTGTTGGAAAACCGTTACAAAAAGCGTTGGCTAGAGTTGTTGGAGGGGATCATAGTCCGGTTTGTCCACCAACTCCAACACATCACGCTAAAAAAAGAAGCTCAGATTTAACACCACCATCTTTAAGAGCTACTAATGGTAATGAAGAAATGGTTTCGCCATTTGTTCGAAGAAAAGGAAAAAGTTTAGCTTTGAGTGATGAATCAGGTTCGTTTTAAAATTAAAAAGTTAAAGGGAATGTAGGTGTTATTATTTTATTTTAGCATCTTCATCTCAATCGTCTCAATCAACTGAAGAAAGACCAAGTGAAAGTGGTGATGGACATGGAGAAGCTAGTGGTGGAAGTATTGCTTTGAGACATTTAACAAGTACAAGATTACCATCTATTCCTGAAAGAACCCCCAGGATTTTAACTGTTGCTGAACTTCCCGGAAATGATGAAGAACCTTTACCACCATGTAAGATTTGAAAATTTAAAACATGTTTAAATTTTTATTTAATTATTTATTTTATTAGCTTGGGAAGCTAGAATGGATAGTATTGGGAGAATATTTTACATTGATCATGCTACTAGAACAACATCATGGCAAAGACCATGTGGATCAACCAGCAGCATAGGAAGTAGAGAAGGTGCTGAACAACAAAGAAGACAATTAGATAGAAGATATCAGAGCATTCGAAGAACAATTAGCTCTCAAAGGTTGGAAGTAGCTGATTATTCGGCAGCACCACCTGGGTGTAGATTGTTAACAAGACCTGATTTTTTTACTATTCTTCATATGAATCAGGTAAAATTAAAAATTGTTTTTTTAAACAAAATCTAAGAAAAAAATGTTTTTTTTTATTAGGATGCCTTATCATTATACAATAGAAATTCAACTTTGAAACATATGATTGGAAGAATCAGAAGAGATCCACCTACTTTTGAAAAATACCAACATAACAAAGAACTTGTTGCTTTGGTGAACATGTTTTCTGATACAACAAAAGATTTACCTCCAAATTGGGATACTAAAAAGGATCGAAACGGAAAGGTGACTCTTTTATTATTAAACACTAGAATTTTTTTAGTTCTAAAAAAGATAACTCTTGATTTAATTTTGATTTAAAAATCAACTGACTGTACTTTTGTACTGGTTCATTATAAAAATATTTCGCTTTACATGTTTCGACTAATCAGTTATGTTCAGAAGCGTTGTCGTAATAAAAGAAATGGCGTTTAAAAAACTTTTGAAACGACATTTAAACAACAATTGCAAATATTATTTTAAAAATAAATGTAATCAAATATTAATCAAATTTTCACCATTTTATTTTTTGTAACTTTTCGTGTAAGGTCGTTTTTAATTTTTAAACTTTATATTTTTAACATGTTGGTTTCATAGTTTTATAAATTAATTTTTCCAATTGTTGTTTAAATGTCGCTTTATTTGATGTGCTGACCTTATCCACGTATCCGCATTCATGCGAAGTTTTTTGAACTCCATTTCTTTTATTACGACAACGCTTCTGAAGATGACTGGTTAGTCGAAACATGTAAAGCGAAATATTTTTATAATGAATTAGTACAAAAGTACATTTAGTTGATTTTTAAATCAAAATTAAATCAAATTTTATTCACATTTACTGGTAAAATGGATTTTACTATTAACATTGATCAAATTAAAAAAAGATAGGTTACATTTTTAAATAGATTGGAGTTGGTCTTGAGTCAAAATAATTATTATTTATTAAAAACATTTCGATATTTTGTTAAAGTGATTGATAAAAAGTTAATAGTCTCTTTCCTATAAAGTCGGTTTATGCTTCAATATTTAATGTTTTTCTCCTGACAAATAACCTAATCTTAGTATTATTATTAGTCTTTGTTAGTGATATTATATGTTTTTGGATATTTTGTTTTTGTTAACAAATCAACTGTACACTTTACACTTCATTCCATTTAATTAAATTTTCTTACAGATCTTTCTCAACCTTTAGATATAATAACTATAATAAGTATTTCTGTATCCAACTGAAAGTTTGTTTTGTTCTAATGTAGCCATATGTAAAAGTGTTATTTTTCTACAATTTATGCAAACTTTCGTACTTTTCTGATGTTTTGAATTATTTATCTTTCTATAGTTTTTGTAGTATATGTAGGAACTTTTCCCAATTTTCGTATATAGTTTACAATTTTTGTAGTCATTCTATTTTGTCAAGTTGCTTTTCCATTTTTAATTCCTTTGTGAATTGTTTCAGTTCCTCAACATCTGTTAATATAATAATTCATAATTCCATAAAATGTTCTCTTAATTTTTCCATTATCTTCTTTTCATCTCTCAATACTTTTCCGCCCAAATGATAAATATATTGTTTTATCTTGTATGCGAGATAGTATGATAAAGAGATACATATACCATGGAGTATACAAGATATATGTCGTTTTATTCTTTCTCCAAATTCAATCAATATTTTTATTTAAGCCATCATTCAGCATAACCCATTCCGTTTAACTGATAATAACTTTTGTGTTTGCATTCAATCAATTTTTTATAAATATGGAAGTTATTTTTATGACTTTCAGTTTAATAGAAAAATTATCTCCTTTGGCATGCTTGTCGAATATTGTAAGTAATATTGGTGTATTTTTTTCTGTCGTCAATGCTTTTCCCCTTGTTTCTAGCATATTTCTTCCTTCTTCTCTTTATTTGGTGACTTTTCTCCCACTTCATATTATCCATCCTATTTCTAAGTTAGGTTCTTTCTTTCTCTTCTGATTGGCTTATTATTACTCATCTTCAATTTCTCATTTAGTTCCTTCTCTTTTCCCACTAAGCTTATATTCTATATGAGTACTTTCTTAATTGTCTCCACCATTTTTGCTACTGGCACTACTTGAAAAGTTATAAAGTAATGACAGGAAAAAATGCAAATTGAACACTCTGTAGCTCAAATAAAAAAATACATCTTGTGGTAATCCGTATGACATAATATTTTTGAATAAACTTCAGAACAAAACTCCTTTTTCCAACCGGTGATGTATCTCAAGTAATCTTTAGTATTCATTGTCCAGACATTCCATTTGTATACTCATATTAATATTATCTACTTCACATATGTGTCTTATGTTTTCACTTCTTTCTCTATCCCAAACGTTTTCCCCGTTATTTTTCTTAATGTTTTCATTTCTCTTGTTTCCAAACATCTCTGAGGTTTGTGTGTTTCTGGTATATACACATTTGTATATATGAGTATTGATATCTGTTCTAGTGCCTACAGTAAAAATATAATTTTTGCAATGTCGAGTTTGGTAAAAGATTCCAAAATGCTATACTTATATAAAAGGAATTTCTTTTCCAATAATCGTTTACCAGGCTCTGACAGGAGTATTCAACATGTTATAACAAGTGATTAAAAGAAAAATGTCATGAGGCCTTACTCTGCATGTCTCTTTTTTTTTTTAATTTTTTTAAATTTAAGCATAATATGTTAATGAAATTATTCTGAAAACAAGCTACCTACACAAATTTCTCAAAATAGACTGTTGACCAACTTTATTTACTTAAAAATTATTTTCTAACGCAAAACATATCAGTGAAGTAGTAAACTAGTGCCATTTGTAAAATGGGGAGAATTGTTGTATAGTGAGTGTGATTACTATTTGAATGTTGGAAATATAACAATTAAGTATCACATATGTAAATATCAATTTGTAATAACCAATGTAGAACTTAGTGTGTTCCAATTTCCTCCCACAAATTTGTGTGATAATGTTTGTTATTAATATTAAATTTTAAGCTTTTCACAAAAAAAATTAACACTCTTCTTTTAATTGTTAGCAATTCTTTATTGACCACTCTCATAAAAGGACTTCGTACATGGATCCTCGACTTCCAACGGAACCAATTTATTCTAGCCGTAGAATTTCCGACGAAGCACAAGGGGTAAGGCTACAAGGAAATTCGCTTTACTTGTAGTCGATTTCGTTAATTTTTCTTTATTTATTCTTTTTTCGCAATATTTTTCTGTATTTTTGTCTACTTTTTTTTATTGTTTAGCTTATATTTGTCTGTATTATTTATTTTTTATGTATTTTTATAATTTATTTCGCATTATTGTATTTTATTCTTTTCAAATTTGTTTCAGGCTCCAGTTCCTCCTCCAAGACCAACAACAACAACCTTTGTACCAACAACAGTAGATGTTCCAATCGCTTACAACGATAAAGTAGTAGCTTTTTTGAGACAACCCAACATTTTCGATATTTTAAGGGAAAGACACTCTCCTGTTGGAACTTCAGTTTCACTTAGAGATAAGATTAATGCTGTTAGAGTTGATGGAACGACTGCTTTGGATCGATTAAGTCACGATCTTCATCTTACAATTCTTTTAAGGTAAGCTTTTGTATAACACGTATTTTGATTGTATTATACAGTTTTTTAAGACGTCATCAGATAGAAAAACATCCTGAAAAAATATTGTTTTAAAAATTTTATGTTTGTTTTAAAAAACCACATTAAAAATTCTCGCTAATTTTCCGGTTTTTTCAAAGATTAACCCAATAACATTTTCTTTTGTTTTACGCGAGTTTTCGAGAATTTTGAGAATAGCGGATATTGCGGAATAAACGAATATCTTTACGATCGAATCTTGCAAAACACCCAAAAATAAACATCAAATCGACCGCTTTAAAAACAAACGGCTATTCGAACAATATACTTCATTCTTTTAATTACATTTATGAATTAGTTATTATTAAATCGTTGGGAGTGCTACCACATAAATCTTTCATGCCAATTTCCCAACTGATTCTTTTAATTTTTTATTGATCGCCGCTCTGTATGTTGATCATAACCGTAGAAAAAGCGCAATGAATTGTTTATATGAATCGACGAGTTGAATATAAAAGGGATGGAGCATATTTTAAGTTTTAAAACCGTTCTATTTCCCAGCCTTGAGTTTACTTTTATAGCTAGAGTATGACGGAACACACCTGCCGGAAGTGCCAACTTTTTGCCGAAGCAAAAAAAACAGTTCAAATTGTTTACGTTTAAAACGTTTTGAGGGTAAAAACGTTAGAATTCCGTTAGATGGAAGAATTCGTTGAAATTGCATTCCAGAACATTATTTACAAGAAATTAAAATCAAACAATTTTGGAACTTTATATTTATCACAGTTGATAATAATAATAATAAATGATTATTAAGATTCGTTTAATTGAAATTAATTATATAAGATTCGTTTAATTATGTGTCGTTGCGAGTACCAGCATACTACTTTAAAAAAGGAAGTCATTTTATTCGCTTAGAAATAAATTAATTCCTTAAATTGATAACTCTTGTACCGAATGAAATTTTATTTAAGTTATTTGATTCATCATTGTATAATAAAGAAACGTTTGTTGGTTAAACATTTATACAGATTTTTGAAACAAAAAGGATACAGTTAATCATCATAATTTTCTATAATTATGTTATGATACTCGTAATAAATTGATATGCAATTAGTTTACAGCTTTTCACGTTAATTAACTTACTGAGTAAGGTCGATTTATTCGATTTATTAGTCCAACTCACTTAAAAGTACTTACTTAAACGTAAACATTCATCGAAAGCGAGGATATTTTTTTCCACAGTTTCACTTTTGCATTTTTTAATTTTTAATTAATCGATTTTGTGTTGTGGGGCACGTTTTAATTTTATTAAATTGCTTTTAAAACTGGCTCAATCTCATGGAGGTCGTTTCCTCATGATAGATTCACGCACCAATTCACATTGGGTGACAGCAACGCTAAACAATAAGAACCCGATAAGTTATATTTCACCTTAAAGTTAGATTGAAAATAATTCGAAAACTTACGAAACCGACTTAATCAAAATTTTAATTTATTGTAATTTGAATGTGACCTTCGTGTAACAGCTTTTTTACTTTTTTGGGTTTTGCTTTTTTTAGTACAATTATTTTTTTACTCAACTATGTGTTAAACGAAGTTGGATATTTGAATATTTACGCGAATATCAACGATAACAATGAATCGTTGTGTTCTAACCGTTTACTTTTTATCCACTTTTTTTTACTTGATCCATTAGGTGTGAATGGTGCGATTTTTTTCGGTTACAATCGGTGTAGTATCTTTTAAAATTGACGCTAAATTCCTAACTTTACTGTTCCCTTTTCCACTTGTTTTTATTGAGATATTCGCATGGTTTCATGTTGGCATTCTTAATTGAACTGAATACGGAAGGAAGGTTAAAAGTCAAAAGATGATGACGGAGTCAGTTGATGACATAACTTAAATTAAAACAAAACCATGAATAAAATTTATTTATGAGTTTGATGAAAATTGTGTCAGTGTTAATTGGAACGTTTTTTTACCATTTCTCGAAAATAAATCTTGGTTATTTATACGAACGTTACAAATGGTTAATCACTTGGTGATGATTATGGATTTCACACTTTGAAATAATTTATAAACTTTCACTAGGTGGTTGCTCTCATTTTATTTTAATTAGAATACTTAAACCCCTCCAAAACAATTTTTAGTGCTAATTTTTTATATAAATACAAATACAATAAGTATTGTTTAATACAGGTCCTCATTGTTTTTTTAATGTTTACGTATTTCAAGGAAAAGTTAAATAAATTTTAAGATTAAAAAAGTTGTATTGATCCAAAAATATCACCCGCAAAATTGTGGCAGGTAAAGAGGAAATTTATTGTAACTTAATATGTCTCCTCGTCTCCTTTGAAATCGTCTTGAAATCTCTTTGAAACCTCATTGAAATCTTTCAATTCTAAAGAAGACCCGTTTCTTTTCAAGTCTTTTCATACTTAATAAAAGGGTTGGGTTAGGTTTTTGGATAATATACAATAGATGCACATTTTAGTGACGGATGCGAAGGAATTTGTGACATCTTTATAAATGTACCGTTAACTGGAGCAGTAACGCACGCATATGCTTCACTCCGATTTATAACATTACTAGTTCAAATCTTAAAATTTTGTATTGCCTCATTCACCTATAAAATTGAACCACATTTCTATATAAATAATCGATTACTTATATAAAAATTCATCAAAATTTAATAAAAAAATCGATTTATATTTGCATTTAATATTTTACTAATTAATTATAAAATGAATTTGTTTTTATCCACCCATTCATTTCGATAGTTTGAATTTAATTACACTTTAGGATTCGTTGACCTCAAACGCACGCATACACGAAAGATGGATATACTATTTAAAATCATCACGATGCAGGGCACGTTGCGCTGTAAAAGCTAAAACTGATCCAGCTTTTTAGCGTTTCTGACGTCAGACGAAGCTTTAAATACGAATCTAGGGAATTGGCAAAGTATTTTTAATTACACATTTTCAAGATTTTAGTTTCACGCTAATATTCTTCTTCATTTCTAAACAATTTTTTCAAAAAGATTCCCATAATTTTTTACATTATTTCGTTTGAAATTCTTAAAAGCACGTTAAATATTGTTGTGTTGCGCAAATGGTAATTACTTATGTAGGAAAAATACTAAAACGGAATACAGTAAAAAAGTGACTAATCTGTGACTAATTCGTTGAAGAGTGGTGTATTTGAATTGAAGGGTATAATTAAATAGTCACAAGAATGGCAAATATCTTATTTTTTTGTGGTTAGTTTTTGCTGCGATTACAATTACATAGCAGGCGATGCCAAAATGTTACTTTTATGCCAACGCACCAACGCAACATTAACATTTACACTTCTCTCTGAACCAACTTCTTCATTGTCTCTTTTCATGTTCATGTTTTCATGTGCCTCATTGCCTATGTTTCAATTATGATGTGATTGAAGTTAATTTCGTTGGAATACAGCACTAAAAAATGCATAGGACTACTCAGTGCCAAAAGTCAAAGTCCCAAATTATTTTAGTTTTTAATTTAGATATCGCTTGCGGCTGAGATGCTGCGATATGATAACCAGTTTACATAAATAATTACATAAATAAATGAGTTGTATCAAAAAATACAAAGATTTTGCTCTGGTTGTCGTGGAAGCGAGATTTTGCCTCAAATTAGATTGTAGAATTTGCTTCTACAATTAAAATTATCACCACACAGAAATTGTCTGGTAATGACCAGACAATTATCTGAACGTGAACAAAACCCAACCTAAATGGGAAAACACAAAACATAACCCAACTTAACCCGAATGCAAACATAACACAACCCCACCCAAGCCAAACGCGACCTCAACCCAACCCGACCGCGAACCTTTGGTTTGGGTTGTGTTCGCGTTCAGATAATTGTCTGATCATTACCAGACAATTACTATGTGGCGATAATTTTGATTGTAGAAGCAAGTTCTGCAATCTAATTTAAACAAATCTCACTTCCATGACAACCGGAGCAATTATCTTTGTATTTTTTAGCACAACTCGTTTATTAATGTACACAAAGATAGGAAGCAAGAAAGTTGAGTTTATTCCTAGAAATAAGCTCATCAAGCAAGCAAACAGTTAATATTCATTCAAAACAACACGATTTTATTCTTTTTCTATTATAAATACAGACCAATGAAGATAAACTTTTGTTTCGAGTGTGAAATAGCGAATTTTAGCTATATTTAGTGGCTGACTTTGGTTGTTTAGCAAAGTCTTAGTTTTAAATATAAAATCTATTTTGCAGTTTGTTGATCAATGATAAACTTTTTTAATCATTTAGGCTTAAAATCAGTATAATTAAGACAGTTTATCAGTGTAATTTGCGATAGTAGCGTTTAAAATTGTATTTCTCGAAATCAACAATAATTCTTTCTCCGGGTCTTTTTTCCTCTAAACACTTTAACAATTATTTCTTCTCGCCTCGTTTTGTACAAATTGTTCGGTATTACCACACATTTTCTCATCGTTGTCTTTCTAGTAACGTTCCTCGTCCGATCTTTCTCCCGAACGATTCCTAATTGCTCGACAATTTAAAAAACTGGTTCTTTTAAATCTTAAGCTTTGTAGTAGGTACGTGTGGCATCTTCGCTTTGTTCACTTTACGACCAGACAACATATGGTAAATAAAAGAAAAATAACTATCCCATTGTAATTGTTATTTATTTCATAATTTTTATTATTTTATTCTACGTTTTAATTCGTTTTCTTTGTAACGGTCAGTTCATTAACGATTCAAGAAACGAGTAATTATTTACAAACTACGCAAAGCAAAAAGTGTCTATCGTTGTTACATTTATCGCAAAATGGTAATTTGTGTTTTGATTGCAAAATTCAAATTGTTTCGTTTTCTTTTTTTTCCTTATTTTTTTTATGAAAGTGTGATTAAAGTTTTTGAAATCATGGTTAAAGTTGTATATGATCCGATTCTCGTCACGATTACGCTATTATAAGAGTTATGAGTCAACGT